AAACAAATGTACCAGCTGCTGAAGTCAGTTCATTTTTAGAATTCATATGAACAAGCATTTAATAATCCACTGGACCTGGTTTTATCTTCTTTTGTTTTCTTTTTTTAATAAAAACATAAAAAAAAACAAGATAAGAATGACTTAATACATCAATAACAAAATGTGAAGTTTCAAAACATTTAATTATATTTATCTGATAATTCATTATTTTATACTCTCCAGCTGGGGAACTTCCTTCGGAGATCAGGGATACATCCGGATGGCACGCAACCAGAATGATCAGTGTGGCATTGCTCTGGATGCCTGCTACCCCGTCATGTAACTGCAGAGGGAACCGAAATGAATCTCTTGCAAAATGAATATATCATTTATGACTTTTTTATTAAGTCTTCAAAAACTACAGCTTCAAACTAACACTTTTTGGTGCTTCTCTTGAAAAATTATATCTTGAGGAGGAATCATCATCACTGACTATCTTTGGCGTGTGACATTGTGGAAATGCTAATGTGCTAATGCTAATGCTCTGTGTGTGAGTACACACATTTTTGGTATACCCGCATATCAAAGTTCAAACTACTTTTCTCCTTGAAAGGTAAGGTTCAGCAATTGCTTTAAAAGATTTGATTTTTCACAAGTTAAAGAAAAATATTTATCCCCCAATGTTTACTTTGGTTAGCATTAACTACTAAATCAGGGGGTTACCAGAAGTATAGACATATGTTCAAGGTTACAAGGTTTAATTAAAAATCTTTCTATATCTGTGGTAAAAAGTTGTGAATGTACTGGATGTTTAGCGCTGGACTACTGTATATTTTATGACATGAGTGAGATTAAGATTAAATTCACAACACAACATGTACTGCTGCTTTGTTGTTGACACTTATATTATGTAATCAGACTAAATGTAAAAATAAAACATTTTCCAAAAATCTGGTTCCTTATTCACAAAATAATGAACATGGAATCATAATATTTAACTTTGAGGGTGTCATGGTGCTGTGTCTGTTACTGCGTTTATGTCTTTGGACTTTTGGCCTTGTTTTCTAACGATGGTAGCGATTTATGTTTCTTAGCCCTTTTCTGGTATTACTTAGTTTCCTGGTTTAATCATTTAGATTTCTGGTTCTTAATTACTTTTAGTTAGTTCTGTTTCGTTCCCTCTCTTTTGCCTTTGTGTATCTTTATTGTGTGAGTTTGTCCCTTTGTCCCTCGTCAGATCCTCGTCATGTTCATCATCCGTCATGTTTCAAGTCTCAGGTTTTCTTGTTCCAGGTACCTTGTGTCTAGTTTTTGTTGGTTTAATCTTAGTCTCCCTTTTGCTTTGGTTGTATTTTGTGCAGTCAAAAATAAAAAAGCTCACTTTCATTTTTGACTGCAGTCCTCCTTAGTCTGCAATTGGGTCCACACTCTCCACACAGTCTGCCATCACAGACCTGACAAAAGGGGGGATATGTATTTATGTAAACATGCCTGGGATGTTGAGGGTTTTAACTGGTTGAGTACTAAAATGTGCATGTTATACAGCATTTTCGTTAAACAAAAAGGACGTTTAAAAGGAAGCCTTGGTTTCGTAAGTGTGTTTTCTTGTTTTTGGACAAAATAAAAAATAAATCAGATTTCAGAGCAGCTATTGGTGTTGGCCTTTAAAACCCACATATCTTTGCTGCTAACATCTTGAACAAGGTCAGAATAAAGTCAACAGACTGCAGTGTTGGGTTACAAATGAGTCGTTTTTATTTTTTTTAGTGCAACATCACAACAAACAATTTTCACATGAGGTATTCAAAGGGATTTTCTTTAGTTGTTGATACAAAATGTCCCACCATGATTGACGTTTAAAGTTTTGTATATCTTTTTTTAAAGCCTTTGGTTGGTTAGCCACATTCATTAGTAAGTCTAACACATGGACAAGAATGGCACAATAAAGCATGGTGGGTCGAGTCCAAGCTGGGGAAAGTCAGACTCAGTCAGATATTTCCCTCAGCTCTTTCCCGTTTAAAGCTTTTTGTATGGATCTTATTAATTCCTACTTACAACAGTGGGATTGAACAGTATTTCAACTACACTAAACATTTTGAAAAAAAAAACAGGTGGGAGGGGTGGCTTACAAATGTGGAAAAATAGCTTCTGTCTCCTCTGGTCTTTTTTTATGTTAGGATGAGTGCTTGATTTGGGTTTTTTTTTTCTATTACAGCAATTCGCATAATTCTAGCTTTTGGAAAACAAGGAACAGGCAACGTTGATTACAGCAAGATCCTCCTTGCTTGGATTGTCACCTCCTTCTTTTTTGGTCTTGAGAATGATTTTATTTATATACAGAACATGGATCAATGGGACACTAGCATACTCGACTTGAGCTTTGGCTGGACAGGGGGTTCCTTCAGCCCCTTCACAGATTGATTCCAGCACATTTGGTTTGAAGAAGTAAAAGGCATGAAGAAGAAGAGACGGATGAACAGACAAGATAGATAGATAGATAGACAGACACCCTGACAGAATGGATTCTTTGGTTAAGGAACATTTTTGCCACACAACATCTCACACAGTTGAGGTAGATGGGTAAAGTCTTCATGTACGCACACGGGAGAAGACAGGGACAGAGGGGGAGACACTGGGGTCAAAAGACTTTCATCTGAAGACACTGCTTCATGTCAGTTTCTCAGTTCCAGCTCAACATAATACTGATTTATGCAACATAAATAACCAGCACACGGAACCCCACTGGTGCTTTTTTGAATCCTCTGAGTGCTACGGTAGCTCTGATGAGGAACTGCTAAAACTACCTACATTACATAATGATTCAGCAGTTACTCATTGATCTTTGGTTGTTTTTTCGTTCAAACGTTATCAAAAACAGTACTTTTTTGGTCTTTTTAAATTTTTTATTCTGAAAGTATATGTCAGCTTTCAGTTCTGCTATTTCATTATTAACGCGCTCCTAAGAATTGCTCTGCAATGGCCTCGGCTGCCAGGCTTGTCTCAGGGTCAAGTTTCTAGAAAAGTCACTAGGGGGTGCCGCAGGCTAAAATGGCAATGCGGATCACCTGCAGCAGCCAACTGGATTCACTCCTCCCTCCCGCCTACCCTCTGTACAGAAAGGGAAGAGCTTCCCTGCTTGACACGGAGCAGAGGGTGGCTCAATACAAAAAGCACTGTCTCCATTTTAGACTCGCAGTCAGAGAGACAAAGAAAAACCTGAAAGGTGTCACCTCAGCTTTGATACAATGACAGCAGTGGGCAGAGATCAGCAGAAGAGCCTTCAAGCTCTTTTATTTTTAATTTTTTCACCGCTGTACAGACACAGCCACACAACCCCACTGCCACCCCCCGTAGCTCTCAGCATGCTTACAATTGTTGCTCATTAAAGTTTAATTCAGCTCTATGCCCCACTACTCCAACACCTCCTGTTCCTCAAACAACCCCCCCTCCTACTTCTCCGCACACACTGCTACCACCATCCTCATTCTGGACGATTCAGCCTCCTCTCTGATCTCCCCCCACCCCTTTTTGAATGCCCCCTAAAGCCCACAGGTCTGGCCAAGAGCAGACCCCAGACCAGATACCCAGAGAGGAGACGGGATGAAAAAAGCCTCCCCTTTGAAGTCCACGAAAAAGTCGATGGCCTCTTTCATGACCACCCGTCTTTCAAGTGCACGCTGTGAAGGGGGCCCCGGCAATCCGCCTCTTACAACGTTAAAGACAGAGAAAGGGAGAGAAAATGAGACAGGGAAAGAGTCAATGTTGAAAACGGCAAATCTAGCTTTGCCACACTTGGGCAGCATTTAGTCGAGAGTGAGAAAATTAAATCTTGGGTGACTTCTCCTGATTTCAGCACCCGCTACTCAGAATGGAAAATCCAGGTAAGGAAGGAGGACCTAGAACAAACGCCAAAACTCCAAATGATTTGGAAAGATCCATGAAGCTCTTACAGGGTCAGGGACAAGCCCCACAAGCCTTACAACAAAATCTAAGACTTCTCAAACACTGAACTTTGGATGGCAGAGGGCATAGGTCATAAAACTAAAGAATCTTACAAAAGAAATTAAAGATTCCCAGAAAACGAGAATGGGAAAAACCTTCAAAAGACCTTAAAAACCACGGGTACATAAATCCAATTCCCCGGAAGATGAGGAACACCCTTTAAGAATCACATTGGACAGCAAACAAACCCAGAAAAAAACTCCAGTATCTCAATTCAAGTTGAGGAAAACACGGGAGGAGTCAGGAGTGAACCCTACTAAACGTCTTGGAACTGAGACAACTAGCAGAAGCCTTTGCGTGTGGTGGACGGTGAGATCACACTGAGAAGGACATAGACAGTAGTGTCTGCACTGCACTGGGGAAGGGGTTAGGTGAGGGAGATTGGGCGGGGTGGGGGGTCATAACCATGCATTTCCCCAGGCAGATGCACAGTACGCATGTTTGCGCGTGACCCCGAAGGACTTACGCAACATTAGACAGTGCTTTAAGTGGGTCCCCAGACACATTACGCACTCTGCCAGATGGCATTGGTCTGAACACAACTTTACAAGCAACTTGTGAGCCTATGGGATGCCACATCATCTTTGTTATTATTGTTATTGTCATTATTGATAGCATTATTAATTATAAATATTATCACAACATTCAAACAAGCTTTGGCCTTGGCGTTAAGAGCTGACAGCAGAGACATTTGCAAGAGTAAAGAATTCCCCATAATTCTACAACAAAACAAAGAAAACAAAAAGGGCCAGGCCTTAAAGATAGAGAGATACGTAACATCACTGGGTGGGTCGGGCTGGATCCGGGTGGATCGGGTACTGGGTTTAGGGATTCAGGCCGTACATTCAGGGAGGCAATGTTAATCTTTGGTATTACGATGGGATTCTACAGCTAAAAGTGCCCATCACAAAAAGTTTTCAGTTTCACACAGACATACAGAGCATTGTTAAATAAATACTTACAGTATATAGATAGCATAAATAAATAACCAAATAAATAAAGGAAAGAAAAAGGGAAACCAATAAATACACAAATGCAGTAATAAATATGTTGATCAGATCATTAATTGCATTTGAAAAGTTCTTGGTTTGATTCATCTATTGGCTATAAGGAGGCATGGTTAAAGCCATTCCTTTGTGGACCAAAAAAATGACCTTGTACGTCAGCAGGGCTGAAACAAACTGCCCCACACTTCCAACGTGTTACTATAAATAGAGCGATGTGCTTGAAATCTGTACAAAAACATTGGAAAGAATCACATTCCTCCATTTTCTAGACATCTGTAAAAAAAAGATTTTGTAATGGAGGAGTATACAGTTGTTTGGAAATGAGTGGAAAAAATACTACAATGTCACTATACATTGTGTCAGGTGTACCTCTTCTCCAGAGAGCCTTTGTGTTCAAATTGTTTTTGTTTTCGTTTTTTTTGTGTGTGTGTTTCGGTTTTTTTCTTTTTGATTTGGAGTCCAAAAAAATGGCTGTGGAGCTTTAATTTGGAAGCTCAGTGAGAGTCTTAAAGCTAGACGGTTGCACCAACAAGTCTGTTTCTGTGTCCTACTTGTGTTTATCGATTCTGTCCTGGCATACGGTGAGATGTGCCGCGATTCCCCCTTGAAAACTCTGATTCATTCGAGGTGGGACCGTCTTGACACAATACAGAAGAGGCTCCTGTTGATGGGAAATGATTGACAATTGGGAGTCACAGGCGCTACAGAACCCTCCTGATTATTCCAGGCTCCAAGCTTGGAACAACGCCATACAGTCCTGGGAACCATTACCATGGAAACACATGCTAAGAAAAGGGCATTCAGTTCTCCAAGAAAAAAAAATGAGGACTTAAAAAAAATGCCTCTTCTTCCTCTTTCACCTTGATTCTGGAGGAATAAAGGGACTACAATAACATCGGGGAAGGATTAATGTCTTCGGATGATGGCGATCACTTGATTAGGAAGTTACACAATGAAGCTCTCCAGATGTGAGCGAACGACACCTCTTGATTCTTCACGTTTGGAGAGATGAGAAAAGATTTGAAGGTACACCAAAATATGCTTCCTCCTGATTTGCAATACCCTCATTATCTCTAATCTACATAATCAAAATAATGCAATGAGATGGTGTCTATGTAAGGGTGTGACTCTTCTTTGAGTCAAATCATCTTTGCACCCTTGACTATACAGGCAAGACCTCACATCTTGCAATCATATCACTAAGCATTGCCCCTTCCTTTTCAAGGGAGCAATTAACTTTGGTTTGGGAAAAATGCTTCATCTTCATAAACTCATCTATAATAGCTGGCTCCATCTCTCCTTCTGATAACGAGGAGGACATTTATTACGGCTGATCTCTGCCTAGACCAGTCTATGTGCCCCCTTGCTCCCTCAGCGCCCTCCTCACCGCACCTCCGCGACGGTCTAGCATCACGCCGTGCTGCAGGACACTGCGGAGGAGGAAATGCTGGAGCCCGAGGAACCGGTGGAAGAAGGACGGCCCTCGTCTGCCCACTTGTTGAGGTTGCGTCGGCGGGCATTCATGAAGAAATTGCTGACAGTTGAGAGCTCCAGGCCCAGCTGCTGGGCAATGGTGACCTGGAGCTCTTTGGTTGGGCGGTGGTTCTCCCTGAAGATGGCCAGAAGCGTACGCCGCTGCAGGTCTGTGAACACCAGCCTGGTGCGCTTCGGGCCCTGGTTGCGCTCCAGCTTGTTCTGCTCCTGTTCCTTACGCTTGCAGGCTGCAGGCAGATGGATAAAAGATAAATTAAAAAAAGGAAAGGGGAAGCAGGTTAGCTAACAGACTGGCTGGCTAACTAGGACAAATGGATTAAGCTGTGGGAAAGTGGATTTGTTGAAAGAAAACAGATTAGCTAAGCAACTTTGATTAGTTAAAAGAGATGAATCAGCAACTTGTTTCATTGTGCAGTAAAGGAATCAAGATGTTCAACCTATCACATCTTATTACCAGTGAGCTGCTCTAAGCTGCTAGGGAGAAAAAAACATATAACTACATCCAGACCAAAGTCCTGAAGTCTTCCATGATGTTTTTCATTATTCCCTTTAATTACATTTTGGAAAATGGTCTAATTTTTTACATAGATATGGCCTGGAGACAAACTAAATCTGGTGTTGCACTGATAATGGCAATATCTTCCAAACAAAAATTGAATTCAAACACAAAAACAGATGTATATCAAATTTCTCCCCTTAAAAATTTGAAATATAACCTTTCATCACATCAAATGTCACGTTTTGTCCCTCTTAGACTCTCCCTTATTTAACATCCGTATATTTCTGCATCTTTAGTCCTCAGAAGATAAAAAGCTTTAGCAGCATTTGTCCAGTATCAAAGTTATCCAAATCCAATCTACAGTAACAGTTAAGTCTTCTGGTGATTCTTTTTTTTAATCTAAGTCTTGCGTACAACAACCACAAAATAAAATCCCGGGGTCTGGGTTAAACACCACTCTAGCTGCGGCAGCCCGCCCAATTATATAATCGATATTTTCTCGCGAAAAAGTCTGAAATTTATTTTGAAGGGAAAAAAAAGAGTGCAAAGAACAGTTTTGTTTAGTGAGAGAGAAAAATAGCCTGATGCGTGTGGGCTGAGCTCAGATCCATTTTGAGAATCAGACGAGCATTTTGAATTCAGGCTGCATGTTCCTCTGCATATCCATCGCTGAACCTTTCACCTCTAACACGCTGTAATTCTGTATTTACAGGAAACACAACACCAACCTCTGCCTTTGTGTACCGAGCCAACTTCTCCTCCCTTCCCTCCCACCCTCCATCCCGCTCTTTTTCTCTAACCATCTCCCTCCACTTCCACTCTTTCCTTTCCCTTAGTGGACACTTCAACATCATTAGTTTCTCATAAAAGTCATTTACATGTGGCGGCAGTGAGTGAGTAATAATCACTTTAGGGGGAACTAATTTATTTTCTATTAAAGGCAGGTTACGTCAGGGGTGAGTGAAACAAGCAGAGTCGGCATTGCCCAGGGCATTTAGAAGCCTTAAGTGGGCTAAAACATATTTGGGAGAGTCGTGCAATTACCTAAATGTACACTTTTAAGAGGTTTCAATCAGCACTGTGCGGTTGCTGGGCGACTATTTTGCTGATGGTATCAAATGCATTTCTAAGTGTAAGCACACTGGTGTACGTGCACAAAAAACACAAAGACACAAATACACACACACAAATGAGAACGGACAGATGGATAAGTGCCTATATAGAGAGTGGGGTTTTTTTCAGGCGGGGTATAAAATATGAATTCTTCTAATAGGTATGATATTAGATATGCATGTTATTTGGCATGTTGTGTCAGAAGCTTTCTCGATCTCAGAAAGATAAGATGCTGGGGTTACACATGCTCTTTGGGCTTTTTGAGCATTTAGCCAACCAAAACAGCCCTCAGTGTAACAAACGTGTCATTTTTATTGCAAGAAAAGAGAAACTCTTTCTTTCTTTTCGAGATTTAACACACACCATTTTTCAAGCAAGAGAGGAATAAGCTGTATTCGTGTTGAAGCTGGTTGAAATAATCCTGCTGCACAGGCAGATTTTTTTTTACTTATATTAAGAAAACACAGAGAAATATGTATGGAGTTCTATTATTGACAAAAAAAAATATGTGATTATATGGAGATTTCAGCTCGCAATAACCTTGAAATCCAATATTTCAAACTCTAACACACGGAGAAACACAACCCAACTCACGCTGCAAACATACATTATATAAAACACAGATGCTGCCTTTTTCTCTCACAACAGCACTGACGCGTCCAATTGATTGGCTCACAGTTTCCCATTGAGAAACATCTCACATACTGAGGGGTGCCGCTGATGTTAACTGTATGACTGTCTTTTCACTCTTCAAACGCACAGTGGCAAATTTCTCTCATTAGCAGAGCACTTTAGGAAAAAGTGTGACCCCACCGCCATCTTTTTTTTCACAGAGTGCAATCACAACAGCAGAATTAGACGCAGGTCTAAAGGGTGTGTGTGTGTGTGTGTGTGTGTGTGTGT